GATGAGTATGGTACGGATTCTACCACTGGATGTCTTTGTTTTACTCTTTAAAAGGTGTGTGGATTACTGAAGAGATGTGATTCTTTTTGTTGCAGGACTTCTTAGACAACCAAAATGGGGACACTTGCGAGATCTACACAAGGCTATCAAGCTTTGTGAAGATGCATTGATTGCCACAGATCCAACAATTTCTTCTTTGGGTTCAAATTTGGAGGTAACTATAACTTCATGTCAGTCCTCTGCTTGAAAATGCTTTGATTTTAACCAGAAAGTGGGAATTCTATATATGTACTCATTTGTCTTCACAGGCTGCTGTATATAAGACAGCATCTGGATCATGTGCTGCTTTTCTTGCAAATGTTGGCACGAAATCTGATGCAACTGTGAGTTTCAATGGAGAATCATATCACTTGCCTGCATGGTCCGTAAGCATCTTGCCGGATTGCAAAAATGTAGCCTTCAACACCGCAAAGGTATGTTCAATAGCCTCTTAAAACTGTCAAGCTCATTAACAACTGACTAATTTGGATATGTAATCTGCATATGTAGATAAACTCTGCAACTGAGCCTACCGCATTTGCTCGTCAATCATTGAAGCCTGATGGTGGTTCATCTGCGGAGTTAGGTTCAGAATGGAGTTACATTAAAGAACCTATTGGAATTTCCAAGGCTGATGCATTCTTGAAACCTGGATTGCTAGAGCAGATAAACACAACAGCTGATAAAAGTGATTACTTGTGGTACTCGCTAAGGTAGAGTAGACCTGACCCATTTTCTTAGTAACTTCTCTTCATGCAAAAGATGCTATGTTTTGTTCTTATACCTACAGAGCTTTTTTCTGTGTTTAAATCTAAAACAGGATGGATATTAAAGGCGATGAGACTTTCCTTGACGAAGGATCTAAAGCCGTCCTTCACATTGAATCTCTTGGTCAAGTGGTCTATGCTTTTATAAATGGAAAACTTGCAGGTATAAATTTTACTCCAAGCAGTTGAAATTTAGTTTCGCACAAAGTTTTCTAACTTTATCAATGATATCTATTGCATTACACAATTTTGCGGTTACAGGAAGCGGACATGGCAAACAGAAGATTTCTTTGGATATCCCGATTAATCTTGTAGCCGGGAAGAACACAGTTGATCTCCTTAGTGTGACCGTAGGGCTTGCGGTATGTTCTATTCATTTCTTATCTGCAAAGCATTGTTTGTTTGGCCAAGAATAATGGCACAAAATGTTACTAGGCAGGATTAACTTAACCAATTTATCTTAACTTATTCCACAGAATTATGGAGCTTTCTTTGACTTAGTGGGAGCAGGAATAACCGGTCCTGTGACACTTAAGAGCGCTAAAGGTGGTAGCTCAATTGATTTGGCTTCACAGCAATGGACTTATCAGGTACTTAAACCCAATAATCTCTTGTCATATTACTACTCCTACCTCCGGATTTCATGATTTAACGGTTGCGATTTATAGGTTGGACTCAAAGGGGAAGACACAGGTCTGGGAGCTGTAGATTCTTCTGAATGGGTTTCAAAGTCTCCTCTGCCCACTAAACAGCCACTGATTTGGTACAAGGTGATGATTATACACAAACAAAACATTAGAAATATTTTCCAAACATTTTGAGAAAACTTTTGTCTTTTCTTGTCACACTCTAACAATCGCTTATGATTTTAGACAACATTTGATGCTCCTTCTGGGAGCGAGCCCGTTGCGATAGACTTCACGGGTACAGTAAAGGGCATTGCATGGGTGAATGGACAGAGCATAGGTAGGTACTGGCCAACCAGTATCGCTGGAAACGGCGGTTGCACAGATTCATGCGACTATAGAGGATCTTACCGCGCAAACAAATGCCTCAAGAACTGCGGAAAACCTTCACAAACATTGTCAGTACTAAACAAGCTTACATCGTTCAGTAGAATGATGGTTGAACGCTTCCTCAAGCCTAAGTTGTCTTTTGTAGGTATCACGTCCCTCGCTCGTGGCTAAAACCGAGTGGGAACACACTTGTTCTGTTTGAGGAGATGGGAGGAGATCCAACACAAATATCATTCGGGACAAAACAAACAGGAAGCAATCTTTGTCTAACGGTGTCACAGTCTCATCCACCACCGGTGGACACATGGACTTCTGACTCAAAGATCTCAAACAGAAACAGAACCAGGCCGGTTCTTTCCTTACAATGCCCTGTCTCCACTCAGGTCATATCTTCTATAAAATTTGCAAGCTTCGGTACACCCAAAGGTACTTGCGGTAGCTTCACCAGCGGCAGTTGCAACAGCTCTCGATCTCTCTCCCTCGTTCAAAAGGTCTAGACTAATTCTTTTCTCTTTTTGCTTCGGACTTTCCTCAAATTTATTTACACTTGGAGTGTGACTCTTGCCAGGCATGTATTGGATCGAGGAGTTGCAACATTGAAGTCTCGACTAGAGTGTTCGGGGAACCTTGTCGTGGCGTCGTCAAGAGTTTAGCTGTTGAAGCTTCTTGTTCATGAGCCCCCGGTTCCTCTGCTGATTTGATATGATTTTAAGCATGTAATTGTTGGAAATAAAGCAAAATGAAATCGATAATCGTATAGTCTTATGGTCTATCCAAATAAATAATTTGGCTGGAATTAAAGTTACTAAACTATATATATGTTTGGTTGATGTCTAAAAGAAAAATTGTCTTATAATTGGCTGAATATTAATATTTGGAAAGCCATATAGCAAAATGTCTTATAATTCAAAATATTTATGATTCTAAATAGTAAATACCAGATATACTCCTATTTTTTTCCACCAAAAAAAAATATATACTTCTATTTTAAATAGAAAATTTTGTTAATTAGAAACAAAAATTGGCGAAAAACGGATCATATATATAGTTTGTTTATGAACGTACTTCATTTCTACGAATGTAGTTCAGTATTATCACATCATTTTACGTTGTATCAATAAAGAAATCAACTAAAATCATTATGTGAATTGTATTCATGTTAATTTTTGAAAACTCGGTTGTTCTATAATAGATAAATGCATTTATATATGTGGAGATAGTTCATCGTTCTCTTTCTTTAGTTATTTAGTTAACATGAACATAATGCACTAGTGGATTCTTCATGGAACTATTCCCACGCCGGCAAAAAGTTCAGAGTAGTTGAGAATTTGAATTTTTTTTTTTTTTTCGTCAATTGGAAAATTTCTTCTGCGTTGTACATAACCTATTTCAGAGTAGTAGAAGCCTATCTCCGCTACATACAGAATTCGAGGCCCTCCTTTGGGCGATGAAGTGTATGATTGGTGCAGATAATCAAGAGGTAGCTTTCTTTACAGACTGTTCTGACTTGGTGAAGATGGTGTCTTCCCCAACCGAATGGCCGGCCTGCTCAGTGTATTTGGAGGAATTTCAGAGCGACAAGGAAGAGTTCTCCAATTTCTCTCTTTCTCTAATTTCTCGATGTGCTAATACTAAAGCGGACAATCTGGCACGAAAAGTTCGTACGGAACCGCTACACATCACCTATGTAAACAACATTCCTCAGGAATGGCTCTTTTGAGCTCTATTTAATTTTGGATGACAAAAAAAAAAAAAAAAAAAAAAAACCTATAATCTTGGAACAAGAGATTGTAGTAGAGAACAATTGATGGCCACGCCACTATAACTAGCTCGCTTCCTTCTTTGCTACTCTGCTTTATTACGGACAGGCTCAGCTCAAATTTCTGAAAAATGTTTATAATATAAAAATTTCTAGTCTTATTTGCAAAATTTTAAAAATTTAAGACCCTTAAAACCTTACAAAAAAATTGAAAAAAGCTACTCGCAATTACTGTCGAGTCTCTGATTGGTAATATTACATAACTGCAAAAGAACATAAGTTGCAGAATGAAAACTCGCAGAATAAAGACTTCCATAATGAAAAATCACCAAATGAAATTACTTACAAAAGTATGTTGATTGGATACATTGTACCTTATGGCGGAATATAATATTATATCATCAATATTGACTTCTATTTAATGAAAAAAAATGTTTTTAATAAATTTTAAGTATTATTTGATAATAACAATAAATAAATATTAAAAATTATTAAAACGTTGTGAAATGTAATTATTATTCGAAAAATGGTATAAATTTTCTTGTAAAAAATTATTTTTTTACTTTTCTAATTGCTAAATATTTTATATGGGTAAAAATAATAAAAATCTATTATGCAAATAAGCAACTATATACCCACTTATTTGCACAACGGGATTTTATTTTAGGCGAAAACACAAAATTTTCGTTTCTAATGCGATTATACATATTTTCTTGATTGGTCAATACAGGTCCGTCTCAAAATTAGATTGGAACTTGTGCCCAAATCTAAAAGATAATCAAATCTTACATAGAAATTCAAAAATATGGACCCTTTCCTATTAATTTTTTAAAATTTAAGACCTTTTTATCTAAAATATTTTTGTTATAAAAAAAAAAGACTCAGTGCTTTGGCACCTTCAACACATGCTCTAAGCCGGCCATGGGTCAATATCTTGTATAATCGCATTAGAAAACGTCATTCCGCCATTATGCGATTACCAATCGGAGCCAACATTTCGGTACAAAACGAAACTGACTAAACTTAAGTTATTTGTACATAAGGGCCCAAGAGGAACTTACAAGAAAAGGTTTTATACCAAAAATATGAGATTCAGAGGAGATAATTTGAGACTTTGAGATCGAAAAAGGCTTTCAAGAATCACCACTGAGACAGAGCAAAATTTCTATTGATACAATCTCGCTCATAACAATATTAGACATATCAGTGTTTGACTAATTAATATAACAAACACAAATTCAATATATGTTTTTTCTATCACGCCGTTGTTTGCGCATACCGGCAAGCATTGCACATCTCCGGGAACAGAATATTAATCCAGAGCACTGGTAAACTACATTCTGTGAACAATGTTTCGCACAAATGGAGCAAACAGATCGAGACATACGATGATTGTTGGGTAGAACACTTACCTTGTAACCAGGAGTGACCCACGATGAACCGGGCCTCATGTATAAGTCTCCAAGCAAACAATTAATATGTAGGGTGACACAACAATACTCATCACACATATAATACCGTTTTTGTAGATTTATTTTTTCCTCGCAAACTTCACACCAAGACGTCATGGTACTTGTCTCCTTCCCATAAGAAAGAGTGAGTGTGTGCTTATCATGCTTATACCTCACCTTTTGAGGTAAAATAGAACATGCGAAACACAAAACAAAGTCGCACTCAATGCAATTGAATGTTTCTACTGAACGCTCGCAGACCGAACAATGTCTTTTCTCTCCTGGTTTGGATGTTAGAAATAGAGGATGGATATGACTTTCATGGACTAATGGCTCAGAAATTGTGGCGCACTGCACGTGTAGTATAAAATTACATCCTTCTTTACCACACTCATAGAAGAAACCACCTTTGCACAATCCAATACAAGCTGAGCATTTATCCTTATAATAGCTTATAACACCATCATATCCTCCTACTAGACTGAGCAGATGTGGATGTATTGGATGATATATTTTGCGAGGAAGTTTTGCACACTCTTCGTGAACAATGAAATCACATTGCATACATGAGTAGAAATTACCGAAATAGATTGGCGTGATGCATGCTTGACACTGCTTATTCTCGTCGTAATCTCTGCCCGTGTTCTCGTCAAGTCTCAAATGATGATGTTGATGACTAAAATGTTGTATAATTCCATCACTTATCTTCAAAAATGGCTCAAGTTGTTCTTCTTCAATATCTTCTGGCTCTCCCTCAAGTTCTTGACCATCCCACACATTGCTCTGAGTGGCACATTTTGAATGAGCCGCATACGAACAACCCTTGATGCAAGCATAGCCTCCGTAATCATTGTCGATCTTCGTGCGACAAACACCACAAGACCAATCTCCTTGATCAAAAGAAGTGGTAAAAGCGATACGATGGAGATGGCGTGATATCCTTATGACACGAGGTAAGCTGATACAACTCTTATGGATCACAAAGTCACAAGGGGGACACATATAGAGAGGACAGCTTGAATGTGATAAGGCACATACGTTGCAAGTTAAGGAAGTCTTTCTTAGAAACAGAGCAAGTGTATGCTCATGCCACTTCGGTTGGTCTATATATAAGATTGCTTCTTTCTTCGCACAAACAAAATTAAGAGCAAAATCGCAAGGCGGGCAATAATAAAACATCCTTCTGAGATCTTCATCACAGCAATAGCAAACCCTCGTATAATTTTCCTCACATAACAAGACAAGCTGAAGAGAATGTTTCCGATGAAGAGAGTGTTTGATCTCTACCGGAGCCTTGTTATATTCTTTATGGTTCCGGCCTTCGCAATTTCTACATCGAAAATAGGTAATGCCTTCTCCTGTAGGCCAGTATGTCTTCCAGTTTAAAGGAAGACACTCCCACTTGCTATCTATACTATACGAGATAGCTTCGAAAACATCAAATTCTCCATTGCTCAATCTTATGAATGCTTGAGGACATAAGGAAATAAGCTTCTCTCTCTTAAGATTCATGGAGATGACGAGGGAGAATATTTGAAATATGAGTGACATGATAGCCGGCTCCGGCTCGAGTGCCAATGTTCGACTGAACGTTAAGCTGAAGTCGAAATGCTCAAAGTTTTTTTGAGAAATGAATAATATGAGATCTGACAGCATCTTCGGTTGAGAATCCAAATGGATAGAGTGGAGTAGAGAGATTATTTGAGTAGTGAGTGACATAAACTCCGACTCTGGCTTCGGCTGCAAATCCAAATCCATTGAGCTGACGAGAGACATTACTTGAACAATGAAAGATATGATGTTCCTATCAGTAAACCAATCCAAATCGGATTTCGTAGATTCCATGGGAGAAAGTATTTGAGATGTGAGTGATACGAGCTTCGACTCCGTCACTGAATCCATAGAGTTGCCGAGAAAGATGATCGGAGTAACGAGTAGATGAGAGATTTTGACTTTTTGAATATGAATGTAAACTTAGTGCTTCTCTGTATTGCTAATACAGACAATCGTGAGACAATCTCAAAGCTTACAGGCTGTCCAAATTTAAAACACTAATTAATGTAAAACTTAGTGCTGTCATTATTTAAAAAATCACTAATTAATGTCTCTGATATAGTACTACTAATAATATCTTCTATATATTATAAGATGGTTTTTGGTGCTGAGAGGTAAGCCCACAGTTTTTCTCAGCATTTTTTATTTTTATGTTATGCTATAACATTTGCCAAACACTATTTTTCATATCTTCATTTCCTTTAAACCACTAACCAACATACCTAAATTTCTTCTAATATCTAGACTGACCAAATTTTGAAATTCTTAACTTCCCTTATTATTAACCAAAGTAACTATTTCTATTTTTCTATATAAATGCTTAGATCATTTTCTTTAGTACACATTATATTAGAATATAAATCATTATATTTTATATGACTTAAGAAATAAAAAATTTAAATACTATAACACATTAGTTTAAACATTCTATTTTTTTTCTTCCAATTTTAATGAATTTAGTTTTTCACAAAAAATATCAACATTTATTTTTAAAATTTTCCAACCAAAATAAAATGTCTTAAGAAAAAAAAAAAAAATGAACCAAACTTATAGATATACTTTTATGGTAAACTAGATTTGAACCCGCGGTACACCGCGGGGCTATAATTTTTTTTAAAAAAATCTAAATATAATTAGTTTTGTTTATTAATAGAGAGTATAATATAATATTTTGATCTACTTTATAAATGTACCATCCATATATCTATATTAATAGTTTTGAGTATATTAATTGTGTTTTAGGTTTAAATGGTATATCTATATATAGTTATATACACTTAAACGACATTTGGCTTTCTTCTTCTTTTTGCCTCAGTTTAAGAGAAAGATTTTTCTTGCGGTACACCGCGGAGCTATTATTTAAAAAAAAAAAGATTTTTCTTCCTTAAACTTCCAAATCTAGATTTTACCCCGCGGTACACCGCGGGTCGATTTTTTTACAACAAAAAAATTATTTTGCAAAATTTTAAGTTGTATTTGTTTTGTTAATATTGTTTATTTTGTTTAGTGTTTCTGATTTTATAATTAAATTTTGATTTTTAATTCTAGGATTTCATCCATCGTATATTGTTTAATATTGTTTAATATTAATATTGATCTAAACCCGTTGCACCATATAACCCCGTCCCGTAAAATTAAACATCATTTGTTATTTTTTTTGAATAATATTTTTATCCACTACTGGTCGCAGGTTCATGCGGATAAGCCCGTAGAGAGTTGCGGATTTGCGGGTCGACCCGCCAAAAGAGAAGCTATCTTTTGAAACCTTTTGTTTTATTTAGAGGTTTTGAGAAAATATCCGTAAAAATAATTTTCATTATATGAAAAAAAAAAAGTAGAAGAAATTGTAATATCAACATTCCCGATTTTTACATCACTCGTTACTATTAATTTTTTTTTTTGCAGATAAAAATCAGAAGTTAACTAAGTCGAGATTTTTAAAAAGATTGTGTAGAAATTTTTGGTAAATTGTTGAGAACATATTTGATTTCAAAATCTTTACTTAAATAGATAAAGAAAGATTTTGTAGAGACTTTTGCTAAATATATGAAAAAATGAATTTCATTTAAAAATCTTTACTTAAATAAAATAAATCTAAATAATTAATGCTAATGGCATGCCATTGTAAATACTTCTCAACTTCAGGATTTATTTGCTAATTGTGATCCAAAAATATATATATAGATAT